TCACAGACATGCTTTGCCGCTCACGCGTCCAGCCGTCTCTTCTCGGGGAGGAACGTAGACCGGACTCGAGAAAGCGGCGGAAATCGAGCCTAGTGCGTGTGTCCAGAATAAATCCTTTGGCCCGAGTAACAATTTCGATATTCAATACTAAATTCGACAGTTTCTGTGTAAATCCGTAGATTTCTTTATCGAAATTTGAGCATTAGTCATTCTGCTTGCCCAAATTATAGTCTGTGCAGTTAGTGAACAACATGTGCTTGAGTAAGACAGTCAGTTCAACACCTGTATAGAGCGAGGACTGAAGAGACATTTTAGGGAATGGGACATGAACAAAGAAGTAATTTATGTAAACTACTTCCTTTTGTCAAATAATTTAGATATTGAAGGAATGAGTTGTAGAGCAACTAAACTGAAATTTATTTCTTCATCTTTAGTTTCTTTATTCAACCCATTTTGAAGTCACTGGCGATCAGTTGCAACATGATTGGCTCTCAGCAGTGCCATTTGTTCACGAATCGCACTTTTTTCTCTTAATCGCATATTTTCCCCAGCGAATGAAATAGGCCATTTCCGAGATACCTTGTGCCTCTGTTTCAAAGCAAGTCCTCGTGCAAAACCTTTCATACGAAAATAAGTTTGATTTACATAAAATGAACCTGTAGGTGGATCACATTCTCGTGATGGTTTCGCACCAATACTCGTTTTGACACAGAGGCAAAAGGCATCTCGGAAATGGCCCGTTGCATTGGAACGCTAAAAGAAGAAGGAGAACACCGCTCCAATATTTCTGGAGATATTCTTTATTCATTGCATTACTGTTTTAGTTGCACTACTTATGACATCATCACTTTCCTAATTTGCATAACGTAAAAACGTCAATATGTCTAAAAAGAAAGAAGATATTCCAAAAAGGAAAACGCCATTCTTCTTTATTTTGAAAAAATCTTTAAATAAGCAGTAATTATTTTTCATTCCATAGGCCCTTCAAATAGCCAATCAAATTGCTGAAAACCCAATGCTATTTATTTTTTAATCGCACTATTTTTTGCTCCACATAGCATATTTTTTTCTGTTTTGCATTCATAATGAGATGTAAAAGCGCGTTCACTTGTGCTTTTTAACAAACAGGCTACTGGGTGAATAAAATACTGGTACCGTAAATCTAAAGAGGAGGAGACGGGGGGCGCTTATTCGAGGGGGGCGCTTAATCGAGGCGGGGGGACGCTTAATTAATTTTTCCCAATTCGTGACCTAACATGAACATTTTTGTAATACATCATCTGCGCGTAAACAGCAACATAAGCTGTTTTTCGACATAAAAAGCTGATCCTAAAGTTTAAATCGCGGCACCGTTAGTACACACAAACCGAAACAATGTACTAATCTAAAACTACACGGCGAAAACTATACATCCTTTGTTGTCTCATTACTCGTTCACAAAATGGGGGGAGGGGAGGGGAGGCGCTTATTCGAGGAGGGGCGCTTATTTTAATTTTTGGCCGACTGGAGGAGCGCTTATTCGATTGGCGCTTATTCGAAGGGTGCGTTTATTCGAGGGGGGGCGCTAATTCGAGGATTTACGGTACTCACTAAAATCCTGCATGTGGGCAGTTAAACTGTGCGATTTCAAAGTGGATTTAATAAAGTGATAATTGATCTTTGTGTCGTGCAATTTTGGTCTGAAATCATAATTGTGATTCCAAAATCGAATCGAACTCGCGCTGCGCGCTTGTTCGATTTTGAATTCATGCATATGATTTCAGACCAAATTGCGCTTCCGGCTCAGTTCAATTATCATTATTCATCGATTGTAAACAAACAGCAACAACAGCAAAACACTTATAATTAACCAAATTCAGTACTGCACTGCACTTCTACATGACGCTGTGGATTTTAAATACCTAAGAGATAAATAAATACCCTCATTTTCTCTTGAAATATCGGTACCTCAGATAGGCTTTTGTGCGTTATGCTATTATTTCCCCACTAATATGCTCTACCTTAATGCTCTATTTTTCCACTAAAATGCTCGGTTTCCCCCCCAAAAGTCACTAAAATGCTTTTTTAAATTGTAATAATTTTAATTGTTTCAACACAATTAACAGTTCAGAGTGCTTAACAAAAACGTGTACTTAGTATAACAAGTTAGCAACAATGTATGTAATAGTTTTAATACACATAAAGATAATTCTCTAAATGATCTGTTGTTCTGTTAATCCTTTGTCCCCTTTCAGTGATACTTAATCTTCATTTTCTCGTAAAAAATAAATTTTATTTCTATTTTCTGTGGAAAAAATGTGAATTTTCTAAGAAAATGCCACTAAAATGCCACTAAAATGCTTGAATAATGCTTAATGCGTTTGTCTCACTATAATGCTCGAAAAAATGCTAGCATAATGTACAAAAGTCTAACCTCAGAAACCTAGAGAGAGGCGTAGCAATCATATTTCNTGTAATAATTTTAACTGTTTCAACACAATTAACAGGTCAGAGTGCTTAACAAAAACGTGTACTTAGTATAACAAGTTAGCAACAATGTATGTAATAGTTTTAATACACCAAAAGATAATTATCTAAATGATCTGTTGTTCTGTTAATCCTTTGTCCCCTTTCAGTGATACTTAATCTTCATTTTCTCGTAAAAAAAAAAAATTATTTCTATTTTCTGTGGAAAAAAAGTGAATTTTCTAAGAAAATGCCTCTAAAATGCTTGAATAATGCTTAATGCGTTTGCCTCACTATAATGCTCGAAAAAAATGCTAGTATAATGTACAAAAGCCTAACCTCAGAAACCTAGAGAAAGGCGTGGCAATCATATTTCTTTCCTTCGCTGCTGCAATTTTTGTACCAGTCTAGTTCTTGTTAAATTTAGTATTTCACTTCATCTGTAACACCGCGTCACTTCTTGGAACAGGACCTCAGAACTGCATAAACAGACAAGAAGAGCGCGCATATCCTTCACTTCACCGGTGGTACCAATATTTCTCTTGTTTCCTGATCCTGGAACTAGCGCGGTTAACTCAGCGCGGCTGGCCGCGCGGCTGCAAATTTGATCATGTGACCACGTTCTAGCCAATGAAATTGATGGTTTTCCTTAGTCGCCATTAACAGGAAGTGTGCCAATTCTTCGTACACGGGCACAGAAAAATTGCCTGTTCTAAGAGTTTCTCGCATCGTATAATATATTCTGAAGGGGATGGCGTTAAGACGGATCAATAAAGTAAGAACTGATTTTGTTTTCGTCGGCAGTTATATTAAGCGATAACTAGTAAAAACAGCTCAGGTTTGATAGGTGCATGTAAATTATAAGTGCTAACTGGATGGCCGATGGTCTATGATAAACTGTGTTTTCCGAAGCATAGTGGTCGTCAGGTGTGCTGTAGTTGAGATTAAAACCACACATAGTTAATACAACTCAGAGGTTCTAAACTGGTTTTGGATTTTTTTTTCCTTTCGATGTTTCAGGAATTGCAAGATCTTAAACGTGATCCGCCATCACAATGTTCAGCAGGACCGGTCGGAGAAGATTGTAAGTTTGTTGAATTTTATTATTTTCAAAAAAAAATCCTTTTGCCTACAGTCCATTGTCACTTTAAACACCGACGTAGCTGATAATTTTTGTTACTGAATTTTGCGTTGGTTTAGCAGAATCTCTGTAGTAAATGTGCTAATAGTCTCGTTTCTTTTTGATTAATCTTGTGACGTCGCGTGATCAATGAAGTATTTCACTGGCAAGCAAGTATCATGGGCCCGGTAAGGAATTCTCATTTCGTTGAAATATAAGCTTAACTGTCATTTAAACATTGTTGATAAACTATTTTTCTTTCTCATGCTTTGATGCGGTGTTAATTTTTCTCGATTCTCGTTTCTTCGCAAACAGCCTGACAGCCCATACCAAGGTGGAGTATTTTTCCTTACGATACATTTTCCAACAGATTATCCATTTAAACCACCAAAGGTAAGAAAATAAAGAATTTTATTGAAACCTCACGGTTTACAAGTTTACAGTACCGCGTTTCTTTTCTAGTAAGTGCACACATGCTTTATTGTACTGTACATATTGAATCTATATGGTTACTGTGGAACTGCCGAAGCCTTGGGGAATACTTCATTTCTTATACTAACAGTTTACAGTTCGATCTTTCGTCAAAAAGTGAAGGAACCGTTTCAATCAGTCCTTTAGGCTTCATATCTTGATCTTTTTAAAACAATAAAAAAATCGTTCATCTGAAACGTCTGGATCTTTAATATCAATTTGTCGTATTGCTCAATTGGTTGCCACATGTCTATAAAAATAATGTGACTTTGAGCTTTAAAAGTTATAACGTTTTGTAGAAAGCAAAACCAGGGATTTTTTTTTTTACAAAGTCACCCTTTCTGGAAGTGCAAATCTGTGGTTCTGGTGAAATTCTGACTCCATCTTGATGCTTTTTGTAAAGAAGTCACCAAGCCTAAACCCCTTCAAAACTGACTGAGCCATCAATATTCTGAACTTTGATACAATGTAATTTCCCTTCAGGTCTTGATCACAATTTGATCAAGTTTTGTGCCTTTTTGTGGGCAATATTGTGGGGATATGATGAAATGTTTTTTTGATGTTCTCCAAATAATATTCCACATAAATGAGAGCCATTCCATTTTTGAAAATTTATATCCACAACCCCTGTTGATAAAGTAAGTAAACCTCTGGGACAAAGAAGAGCTGATATGATACCCCCCCCCCCCCCCTCCTCAGAATTAATCTGATTTTTACACTATGCCCTCAGAAAAAAAAAATGACAGCAACAGCAACAACTTTCCCCTGAACTCCAGGCTCAGATTTATTTAAAAGATTAACAGGTGCAGATGGACCAACTCCCAAGTAGAAATGGCTTTTAAAACCCTTTTAGAAAATCTTGTCCATTATGTTGGTGTCAGAATATAAATTGGCATGATTGTGAGTGAGCTCCTCTGTAGGTTGATCTTTTCTGAAGTCTGTTTCATCTCACATTTATCAAACACCCTGTAAGGTTCCTGTAAGATTGCTTGTGTCAAAATCCAGGCAAAGGGAATTGACATTAATTAAATAAATGGCAAAGGGAAACCTTTACTTTGTGTGTTGGCCTATGGCACATGTATTCTTAGTACTCTTAGTATTACCATTATTGTTCGATCGACGAAAATTCCACTCATGTTTCCATAACTCATCATTAATTAGGAAAATGTTCTTTAATTCTTGATTAGAGGTTTGCCTTGAGTAAAAGGAATGGGCATGACAATGTTGGAAAACCATGCTAAACTCAGTCATAATGCTTAGAAGTGTTTAGAAAACTTGAAGCAGTCTCTTAAATTTAACACCCATGGTCACTTTCACAATGTGCAACACTTCACTCAGACTTCTGTTTGGTTACAAGTGTAGTAACAAATTACCCTATATTCCTCATGAACATGAATAATTGAATCTCTCGATTTTATTCAAGGTATTTCCTTTTATGTTTACCACAGTTACTGAGTGTCTGGGTAATTATTATTGTAACTTGGCTTATATAAGTATGTGGCTGCATCATAATCATAAGAAAAGTACTTTGATAGAGACACGAAGAGCACATTAAATCTTCATGGAACAGACTGTTTAGGCTTATATTATCACTGCGTACGTGACGTCATCATTCATTCCACGCTCTCTGGATGAAGCCATGGTGTGCTTTCACACTTGTCTGGATTCCATGGCTTCTGCTTTTAAGAGTACCTAGTTAGTTTATATTCAATGCATTTCAAAGGAGAATTTTGCCATTACAGTGAAGGGTTTTACTTGTGTTTCGTTTGTCTGTCGAGAAATACATATAAGCTATGTGGAAAGCATCGACGAACGAACAAGAGCTCTCGTTCCTGTGGTTGTTGTGAATTCGCCTACAGATGAATTATTCGCTGGGGTAAGAAGCCCTGTGCTGATAAGAGTAAGTTACAGCAGGTACATTCTCCGAAGGGAAGTTCAGGGGTTTTCTGATTTTTCTTTTGACGTTTCTTATCCGCTTCTTAGCAGGCTTGTTCCGTGTTGTGCCGTTTGCTGCATGACATCTCTTGATTACGGCTCCATTGAACTATTGAAATTTACGAAGTTAAACACTCCGTTATTAAGGCTAGTTATCCGGCTGCTGAGCATTTTGCAGTTTCGGAAAGAATAGTAACCAAAACACCTTCGAAAATAATCATTTTGACTCTAAAAGATGACCAAGCTCGGGAATAAAGCG